ATTTAAAAAATGCTTCTACAAACAAAGTTTCATCTGCAGATATGGCCTTGTTTAGGGATCTGTGCCTTTGTGCATATGGACATCTGACTGCTGAGTGAGTAGTGATTGTGTTTCTCAGCAATAGTGTGCACACTTCATTTCGGCTTCACCTCTTCATTCTGCACAAAAGAGCCAAAAAGAGGCTGGTCAAAAACATGATCATCGGACCTTCTGAAAAACCAGCGGTTCACTCTTTTGAGCAGGCAATGATGGCCTAAAACAATGACTAAAGAGCTATTTGTCTATGTCACATGCCCTAAGTGAAAATAAAGTTGTGTCAGAGTCAGCAAATTATAACATTTTAAAGGAACATGTTTCGGTGAACTGAACTGAAGTCGCTCTGGTTAACAACATCTGCTAAATGTCTTCTTACATCGTATGTCCAAACATCAACTTCTTACTGAATTGCATCATACAACCCGACTTGAACCTGCTCAAAAGTGATTTATACAAAGAACACATTTCCATTTTTTTGTAACCATTAGTGATTCATGTATAAGGATTTTAGATAGAGATATATATTTGATTAAACTAATTCATTAAAATCAAGTCTATGAAATACAGCACAAGGAGAAAAAAAATCAATTGTGGTCTGAGATCAATAACAATAATAATAAAAGTTTTAGACTGCTTATATAAAATAGATTATAAAATGTAATATAGTAAGGACAACAATGTGAGAATATTTAGAAATTAGATTCTTCTAAAAAAAAAAAATTTAAACGGACCAAAATAATAAATCACAGCTTTTCAATGTGGTCTAAGACTTTTGGACAGTTATACAAAACTAGAAACCTGGATTTGAGAATCCACTGATAATTTAAAGTTTTCCATGAGAGAGCACGAGAAACCCTGTATATATAATTTCCTCATGCATGAGCACATGTCAGGTCTGGGGGTCTGACACCAGCCTATTTCCCAAAACATGCTCTCAATTGATGACATTCCCCATGTTTAATCATCCTGGCACCAGCAAAGTCATTCTGACTAGACAAAAACTTAAATGAAATGAGGCATTAGAGTAAGTTTGTTGTGGTCTTGAAACACACTCAGTACTGGCCTGTTCTTGAAGAATTACAAACACATATCAACATTAACTGTGTGCTGTATGTCATTCTGATTGCAGGAACACAAACAGCACATTCAGCTGTATTTTACATCTGTTTGGGTGTATACTGATTCAATCTTATCTACCTGCTCCGACGTTTCGCTATCGCTGCTGAAACAGCACCCCATGATAGCCGCCCAGCAGGTTTAACCTCTTGTCTGTGTGAGTTTTTCGTCTCAGAAGCGCTTTTTTGTTTTGTTTGTCTGTTGACTGTCAAGCGCTCCGCTGCAAACGCAGGAACATCACATGACAGAACTCCCAGCCAGGTCACGTGACTTCCGTCTCCTCGCCACACCTATTTTTATTTGACTGAGCAGATGCGTTATTTTCCCTTTCGACTATATGAGTTGAAAATAAAATAAAGGTGCGGTAAGCGATTTCAGACGTTTATGTTTAGCTTCTGAATTAAAAACACGAAACGACAGGTAAAGGTTTCTTCTCATTGGCTAAATACTATGGAGGACGAAACCTGCAAAAACAATAAATAAATAAATACACAAATAAATATGCAAATAAATGTGTGTATAAGTACACAAATTCTTGTTTAAATGCATATAGGAATAATTAAACATGTGATTAAAGTAGGCAAATAAATAAAATAAATTGGTGGGCAAATGGACAATGTTTAAGGAAATGCTAAACTCATCCTATTTATTTTCCTTTGATCACTCATTTATTTCTGAATGTAGTTCCGCATTTATTTTTCTTTTATTAAAGCTTCTGTAGCAATCTTTGCATTTGTACTTATTATGGGGAAATTAATTTAATTTAATTAATTTGCCATCTTGTGTTGGTGAGACTTGACTTGACTAATCAAAGTTGAGGTTATGCAAAGAGCGACTTTCGGGAGCGACAACCAATAGGAGTCAAGTCAAGTCACTTTAGGCAGGCGCTTATACAGTACTGATTGTGTCAAAGCAGCCTTACAGTGTCAAACAGGAAAATAGCTTGTCAAGAGTAGCTACATGACTAAAAATTTTCCAGCTAAAATCAATTCATTGATGATTCAGTTGTCGTCATCCAGTTCAGCTCTCTTCAATCAGTCAAGTGTGTCCCCATTTATGAAAATTAACCATGGTTTTATGGTAAATTAATCATGGTATTGCTACACTAACAGTTTAACCATGGTATTTGTAGTAAAACTGTGGTTATACAAATGGTAATCAATAAGCTAAAAAACATGGTTACTACACTTTTACTATAATAAATCCATGGTTAATTTCCGTAAGGGCCAAATCAGTGGAGTACATGTAACTACATTCTGTAGTGGTGTGTTGTTGAGGCATGTCCTATCATTTATGACAAGAGTTTCTCTGTGTCTGGCAACCTGAAAGGACATGAGCGAGATGGATTTGTCTGCTGGTTATGTGTGATTTGTATTCATGGCTTAGTCCATTGTAGTATTATGTTCAATAAAATATTTTATTTGTGATGATCCTGTAGTACTAACTGTAGTTGCCTACAAACGTTTGTCTCAGTCTGTGTTGACACAATGAAATGTGCTTAATGTGAGGATCTCAGACATCGTCCTAATGAATGAGGTGAAAACACATAGGCTTTTCAGCAGCCTATTGGATGATAGTCGTCAGGAGAGATTTTTCAAAATCATTATGTGTATGGAAAATCCTCATAAAACATGAAAACCCTATGTTACCAGGAATTTACAGCAGGTGTCAGCAATACACTAAAGCGTTTTCGAGTTTGCCATAAATATACAAAAGAGCAATTGGCCTGAGGTAGATTGGTTTGTGTAAGAGGAAAAAAGGAGGGCAAAGGAAGGTATAAATCTAAAAATGGTCTTCAACAATCGGATAGCGGAAAAGTATAATGATTACATACAGGTTTATACAGATGGTGCCAAGGAACCAGAGACGGAAGTAACAGGATTGAGTGTGGAGGTTACAAGTAAAGGAATTGGAATTAATAGAAGAACATCTAATATGTTAGGGGTTTATGCAGTGGAAATCGCTGTATGATGGGTGGAAAAGACAGGGCAACATAAAGTTTTGGTTTGTTCAGATTCATCATCATTTTTAGCAAGTATAAGGTCATTCTATTCAAAAAGTCGGCAAGATATATTGTTTGAAGTCCTACAGTCAGTTACAAGAATATATAACCAAGGAAGGCAGATACAATTTTTATGGGTACCAGGACATGTAGGGATAAGGGGAAATGAAATGGCAGATAAATTAGCTAAAACGGCGTTAACAAAAGGAAACATAGAAATGCAAGTAAGTATCAGTAAAGCAGAGGTTAAAAGTGTGATATGGAAGACAATAAATCAAATGTGGCAAGAGAGGTGGGATAGAGAGGGGAAAGGAAGGCATTTATATCAAATCCAGAGGGATGTTAAATGTTCAGTGATTGGTAGTGGAAATCGCAGAGAGGAAATGGTGTTGGTGTGCTTGACTGGCCAGCAAACTCACCAGACCTGAACCCCATAGAGAATCTATGGGGTATTGTCAAGAGGAAAATGAGAAACGAGAGACCAAAAAATGCAGATGAGCTGAAGGCCACTGTCAAAGAAACCTGGGCTTCCATACCACCTCAGCAGTGCCACAAACTGATCACCTCCATGCCACGCCGAATTGAGGCAGTGATTAAAGCAAAAGGAGCCCCTACCAAGTATTGAGTACATGTACAGTAAATGAACATACTTTCCAGAAGGCCAACAATTCACTAAAAAAAAATTTTTTTATTGGTTTTATGAAGTATTCTAATTAGTTGAGATAGTGAATTGGTGGGTTTTTGTTAAATGTGAGCCAAAATCCTCACAATTAAAAGAACCAAAGACTTAAACTACTTCAGTCTGTGTGCATTGAATTTATTTAATACAGGAGTTTCACAATATGAGTTGAATTACTGAAATAAATGAACTTTTCCACGACATTCTAATTTATTGAGATGCACCTGTATAGGGATAAGGGAAAATTAAATGGCAGATAAATTAGCTAAAACGGCGTTAACAAAAGGAATCATAGAAATGCAAGTAAGTATCAGTAAAGCAGAAGTTAAAAGTGTGATACGGAAGGCAATAAATCACATGTGGCAAGAGAGGTGGGATAGAGAGGGGAAAGGAAGGCATTTATATCAAATCCAGAGGGATGTTAAATGTTCAGTGATTGGAAGTGGAAACCGCAGAGAGTAAACAGTCATATCTAGGTTAAGATTGGGACATTGTTTATTAAATAAAACACTCAAGTTGATAGGAAAACATGATACTGGATTGTGTGAGGTTTGCCAGGAAGAGGAGTCAGCGGAGCATGTGGTCTTGAGGTGCAGCAGGTATGAGGTTCAGAGAGAGTTGATGAGGAATAAGTTGAGAGAGATAGAGGTTCAGGACATGACATTAAAAGGGCCATTGAGCACACAAAATAGGGCACAGACTAGAATTCTTATGGATTTCTTAAGGGACACAGGGGGTTTTAATAGAGTATGAAGAGTTATAGGAGCATTGAGGAAGGTTAATATTATTATATAGTAGAATAAGGATTAAGTGTGTGGATTTGTATGCTTGGGGAGAAGGAGGGAATTGGGTGTATTAGTTTGTGAACCTGTTGTCTGATCCACACTCCGGAGCAGATGGTGGCGGTAATGCACCAATTACGCTGGATGCCAACCGCCGTTAAACATTAAGAAGAAGAAGAAGAAGAAGACCAGCAGAAAAGAGAAGTGCGGGAGTCGAGTGTTGAATTTGGTTTGCCAACCGTCAATAAAACACCAAAGAAGAAGAAGAGTGTTGACTTTTTTTTTTTTGTAGAAGTGTCATATTTTCACTGGATGCCGTATATTTCCAGGTTTCATGCGACAGATGTTCCCATTTACAGAAAAAGAGAAGTGCGGGAGTCGAGTGTTGAATTTGGTTTGCCAACCGTCAATAAAACACCAAAGAAGAAGAAGAAGAGTGTTGACTTTTTTTTTTTTGTAGAAGTGTCATATTTTCACTGGATGCCGTATATTTCCAGGTTTCATGCGACAGATGTTCCCATTTACAGAGTCTGACGTTATCCCGTTTTACATGGCTCAGCAGTTCACCAGGAAAGGTTGGGAATGTTTACATAATTCTCAGGAGAAGCTCCAGGTGTAGCAGATGAAAACTGGTAAAGACAGAGTTAATTAAAGAGGAGATTGAAGACATGAGTGATCCAGAACCATCCAGAATAAAACATGAAGATACTGAGGAACGAACAGGTTGCTTTCCATTCTCGATTCTTCACTTTTGACTGTTTTGGCAGCTGTGAAATAATGATCAGTATATGGATGATAAATGATACAGAAATGCATTTAAATCAGTGGTTCCCAACCCTGGTCCTGGAGGCACCCCAACACTGCACATTTTGCATGTCTCCTTTCTCTGACGCACCGATTTCAGGTCTTGAAGTCTCTACTAATGAGCTGACGGTCTGAATCAGGTGTGTTTGATTAAGGAGACATGCAAACCGTGCAGTGTTGGGGTGCCTCAAGGACCAGGGTTGGGAACCACTGATTTAAATGATCATAACACCGGTGCAGCAGTAACAAGTGAATGACAGAACTATAATTTGGAACATTAAATATCTGATACCTGATCTGTGGTTTTCTGCTGTTAAATCAGGATTCAGTTTTCACATTTATCCACCTTAAAGTGATTGTTAGTATTATTGTATGTTTATCCAAAGATGACAAATTGAGTACTTTATTGTCATGACAAATATTTGTACATTTGTATTGTCAAAGTAATTGCTGGGTTCCTGCATAAAATTACAATGAGAATGGTACAAAACAATTTATCTCACAATAAGTGAAACCATAGTCTGACAGAAACAGAGCCGTAACGTTTAAATGAGCAGCTGAAAAGCCAATCGTTCCCAGTTTTCTCCTCATGCATTATGATGATGTCTGAGATCTTCTGTAAATCAGCACATTAAGCACATTTCATTGTGTGTCAGCAGACTGAGACAAACTACAGGATCATCACTTTATGTGATAATCACCTATTCTTTACCCCTCAGGTTAAACATGATATAAAGTACTGTTAAAGACTACAAAAACCATACCTGCACTCGTCATGTTGTTGACATTGAAATAGCATAAATTAACTTTTTCATTTAGACTGCATGCATGTCTGCCATTTTTGTTCAGACCAGTTATTTATGAGATCATTGAAATGCAAGGTTTATAATTTTATCAAATGTTTTAGTTTTGTCAAATGTGTTTTTGTTTTCCTGGTTAAGCACAAGCCCTGCACCACCGCTGTATTCATTGGTCAACTTAATCACTCAGTCAGCTGCCAACAAAATTTTTGGGAGGCAAATGATCAGTGAGAGCAGAACGAATGTCACACGTTTTAAACTCAATAAATAAAATGGTAAAATGCATATATCAAGTGCATGCTCTCGCAGATGAAAACGGAGAACAAAACAGCGTTGGATGAAGTGGATTAGAGCCCTGCACGGGCCTCAAATATAGGCCCTGGCCCGTCTTTTTTCCCCTTTTCCCAAAAAAGCTTATACTAGGCTACTGTTTCAGCTATTAAAATAGTTCAGTTTTGTATGTAGTAGAAAAGTTATTATATTTCATTTTGTTTTTTATAAAGTTAATTTAGAAAAACATTTAGAGCATTTTTTGTTCGTTAAATGTAAGTTGTTGTTATTTAAGTAATGACAAAGTGGCCAGCGGCACACAGTGAATTGATCATAGCCTATATGATCAATTTAGCATTCTCAAATCATCACGACTTGCCTAAAATAAAGTCTATATATAAAACAGTTCAAGCATATCACAATGTTAGTTTAAATGTTTAACCTAGATAAATGTGCGTTGTTAGACGCATATCCAATCGTTTGTGTAGAGAGTGGAAGCTGAAGCGCGCTCTGCAGCACATGGAGGCGCCAGCGCCATCACTTGCATTTTTTTTCTAACAGTGGAAACAACTTAAAATACGCAGTCATTTTTGATAACATTACCTCAAAAAAGTAAGAGTAATACATCATTCTAAACTGTAAAGGGTATAGTTTTATTTGTGTGCACTCACAATATCAACAAAACTTTGTGCTTTTATAAAATAAAGAAAACAAACGCTTTCTGCCGTCTTGGTCTTGAACAGGAGCGCTTCACAGTGATGAACCACCTCACAGAATTGTCTCACAGATATGATAAAAATATATAGAAAGCTTTAAATTACTACTTTAAAACGAAATAATTCAAATTGAAAATAGAAACTATTCTGTTATGTAATCCATGCATTTCTCTCTAAAGGCACATCCAATGAGGAAATGACGAGTCATTTTTTCATCACCATAATTGATGGATGTCTAAAATATAAAAATTAAGAAAAAGCCTAAAACAGGCCCGATTTATAATTTGCGTTTTATTTTATAATTCTGTACAATTAAAAAATAAAACAAATTATAATGGCATATATGTAAAACTTTGTCCTATAATTGTATAGCTGCTTATATTTTCTGATGTTTATGTTGCTCTGTTCTCTGAATACCTTAAAATAAGGTAAAATCCTTAAAGGATTTACTGCAGCGCAATTTTGTCTGATGTGAATTATTTATTAGCCTATTTTTTTTTCCACTGCAGCAAATGCTTTAAAAATTACTTAATTGCATTCCAGATGCTTTTAAAGTACTTTTCACTATTAATATTACGGGTAGCTTGAATGTAAAACATTGTCATGAATTTGTTGTATTCCCATTTGTAAAATAGCCAAGCCAACAAATTAATTGTTGTAGACTATCCCGATCTCATGAAAGTGCACATAGCACGATTTTCTGCTTCTATTTGGCGTAATATTTATATGCAGAAATTGACTTTGGCATGCAAAAGACTGATACATTCATAATTAATGGCATGGCTGGGTCACTCGATAGAAATACGGGACACACAGGCCTATAATAACTGCTGAAATGTTTGCGGGGCAAATCTCAGGTCAGTCTGAGCGCTCATGGTACGCACCGTGCGTACAGTCCGTACATGTGCAGGCGCCACTGCTGACAATCAAACTAAAAAAACAACAAACAAAAAAGTGCATAATATTAACAGATGAACTATGCTCATATTTATAGTTCCAAACAGTCAGTAAGCGTCAGGTGCTTGTAAACACTGTTTTGTACTCATTTATTGACGAGTCTGCTGCGGTACGGCCCACTGAATGCGCTGCTTCTCTGCCGCTCACTGCACAGAACAGGGTTGCCGTGATTTTGCCAAGTAAGACATGTTCCTGGATCAACATCTTTTGATCAACATTCCTGTCCAAAAATACAGACTTAACCCAGTCCCCACCCCTAAACCTAACCTTACCTATAATTTATTCCTAAAATCAAAGGGAAATTATAGCTGATTAACAAGGGAGTAGAAGCACCTAACTCTGATTGTAAGCCTAAAACTGACATTTCCTGAAACGTTATCTCTCAATTTTGATTGGTTGATTGGAATGATGTTCCAGGATCAACATGGATGTTGATCCAGGAACATGTTGTACTTGGTCAAATCACGCAGAGATCACGCACTGCACCGGGAGAGTCAGACCCTGCGCTCGCGGGGCAGCACTGGCGACAACTGATCGATGGCTAAGGTTTATCCAAAAAGAAGTCGCTAGGTTTGTCAGTATATTCTATGGAAAAAAGCAGCTGAAAGGGTCTGAAAGTTGCTAAATCTAGTGCTAAAGTCACGCTTGTGTGTGTGTGAGACGCGGGAGCTGATGGCAGGGGGCCGTGGATATTTGTGGCGGTCAGTGTGGATATTGTGGATGAGTTCTTCTGTGTCATCACGTTCTATTAGTTCTACAGCTTCAGTTTCGGAACTTTCACGCTTAGTAACACATACAGCTGTTCCCTCACCACAGTGCAGCAGTGAAAAGAGACTCCTCTCAGACAGTCGCGTTCCGAACGTTGTTTAAACGACATGCTATAATTCTTATTATGCTATATTATACTATAACAGTATATTGCGGTATTTAAAAAGTTCATATCATAAGAAAAATAAACACCGGTATTCGGTATGAACCGGTATAACCCCCAGCACTAGCTTGTTGCATTAAATTCCAATGGTGATGCTTCAAAAATGGGGAAAAAAGCCCTTTTTGTATTTTTTTCTTAAGTTTGCATGCCTGTAACTCAATATTAAGGATATCTCAGTATCCTTTTATGAACTGGTTTTTAAACTTTTCTTTTTGTATCATAATTTTTAAGGCCTAATATGGTAATTTGGTTTGATAGAAAAAAGGATGCATAGTTTCAAGATTATTTGTTCTTCAGACATTCCTCTTTAAATAGGCCCAAGTAAAATGAGGATTCCAAAAGAAAACTTTTTAAGATCTAGAATCTAAAATCATATTAAGATATCTTTTATTTCTTCAGTCACAAGCACACCATCTTTGGTAAAATAATATTTTTGGCATTCACACAGGTATGTTTAATGCAGTTGTTTTGATAGAGGGAAACAAGATGCATATCTAGTTTCAACATTTCATCTTCTTCAGATGTTCCTCTTTAAAATACAAAAAGTTATTAGCTATTAAATGTATTTCATATCTCCATATCTTCAGAATTGAACCATATATCGTCTTAAAAATAAGAATATTGAAAGAAATATGTAGTGAATTTGCTTTCGCCGACATAGGGAGGCGAAATAGTGTAGTGATGGGTACTCACTTCACCAATGACATTATGATTTTTGGATCACTTGTCACTTAAGGTGCGGTTATGAGTACATCACATAAAAAAGATTGGTGGAATCTTTAACTTGTAGAACTTTCTGTATCATCAACACAAGGAAGACACAAATGTAATAAAATAGATTTTATTAAGAAAAAAAGAGTAATCAACAACTAATAAATAAATACCATAAGTGAAATAAGAATAGAGTGCATAAGATGCATTAAATTCAAGTGATTATGTTGGGTGTTGTTAGTCAGAGCTACGTTATCTGGAGAGATAAACTGTTGCTACTCTGAAACAAATAAGGTGAAGAACCTTATTATGCATCTAACAAATATGTGAAAGATTATTTGTTATCAACTGCAATCAGCTATATAATAGCTAATGTAAATGAGAAAAATCATATACTGATAATATACAACAATGCCAAGGACTCTGGAAGAGGTTTTGATAAGTGATAGTTACATTCTCTGCGATCGAGTGAGCGGTGACTTCTTCCACTGGTTGTGCTGGTAACAATGCAGTGGGCAAAGGAGCAGGAATCCGTTTCAACAGCCTTGAACACGAAGCACTGTAGGATGCTGATCTCATGGAGCACCAAAGGGTCCTAAAATCTGGAACACACAGATGTGGCCCTGGAGTAGGTGCAGAAGGTCCTTCCTAGAACACGTAAGCAAAAGTACCTTGAAGTGAAGGTTTGCTAGCCGTAGCTTAACCTTGTTGCAAATGTTTGTATGTCTTCTGCCTCTCTGGGCTAGAGACTCAGAACTTGGTCAATTCACTTTGTTTCACTAGGATGGAGACTCTGGACTGCTGCATCTGTTGTTGTCTCGCTGGACGAATACTCTAAACGTAGAATATCTCTCCTCACCAGCTGGAGGCTCAGAACTGGTCGTATCTGTTTCTGCCTCACAAGCTGGAGACTCAGGACTTGGTATCTGTTATTGCCTCTTCCCGCATGGCCCAGAGGCTCAGAATGTTGATGTGTCTGTCTCAGGATGGGAGACTCAGAACAAGTGTATCTGCTAGTGTCTCACCCTTGCAGGCCGGAGACTCAGCTATTGTCTCTCTGGATGGGAGACTCAGAATGGGTTGTTTCGGTTGCTGCCTTCCCTGTAACAGGCCGGAGACTCAGAACAAAGTGTCTTTTGGGAAGGTACCTTTATCTCCTTCTGATGAGGAGGAGATTGCAATTTGGCACTTCTCCATTTCCAGGCTGTGATTGGCTGTTTCCATCAGAGTGGGGGACATGGGCTTTGTCCAAATACCCACACTTGCAGTCTTTGCACTTGACCACTTGATTACTTAAATTATGTATTTCCTGTATTTGGCCGAAGTCTTCAAGTGGGTGTGAAGACCACAAGTGTGTGTCGAACTTTTCATTACCTGATGGGACACACTTACAGTGTTGTAAAAATGCAAGTGTTTATATAGCTTTATTTTAATTTTAATTTGAAATACTTTGCATTTTAAAATCAACTTCTAAATGTCTGTTCAGTAGTCCCTATAACATGACATAATTTTAATTTGTGGTGCTTCTAATTGAGTGATAAAAAGCAGTTGCAAATGTTGTACAAAATAAATATCACCACAACTCATCTTTGCACCAATAAAAGTAAAAACACTTTTTCTACCAAATTATTTGTAATATCTAATTATTATATTAATATTTAACTTGCATTGGAAAGGTTTCCGTGACCTCTCGCGAGATCTCGGCAAAAAGTCTCATGATTTATTTCCAGAACATGATGCATGATGGGTGGCCAAGACCGCGAGTGTGGGTATTTGGACAAGGGGTATGGTGTGGCCCACCCTTCTTACCTCTTGTGGAACTTATTTGCATTGACCAAACACACATTTAGAAAAGTGTCACTAAAGTTTTACTAATGCAGTATTCACTTATCAAACCACAACCAAAATACCTTTGGCAATGTTACAAACACATTAAGTCCAAATATGATAGAAGATTGAACTGTCATGCATGCATTCATTCGTCCATTAACAGCTGAGTTTGTGTAAGATGTTGCACGACACGTCGCTGTCACTGAGAATGCTTATTTCTCTGAATAAGTATAAGATGTGTGTTGTAGTTTGCATCAGTTTGAGAACATATGGATTTGGATGGAACTCTGTGATCTCTTTTTTTTGTTGTTGTTTCACCCACTGCTGCTGGGTCCAGAGGTCCTAAGGAATTTTATGGTGGTCACAGGCCAAAACCTTAGGGCAGAAACTGCATTTTGACCAATGAGAAGTCCTGTCCTTCCTGGGCTTTGTACCAAAGGTCTCCTTCTTGCCCTCTAAGAGGTGTCTGGCTGTTGTCCTTGCATCTTTATCTGATGGTGTTGGACAGTTTGCTTATGGTAGTCCACCAAGATCCAGTCAAAATGTAGCAAACCTTTGTCCACTATTGGTACCGCCATAAACTGGGCCCTGGAATGTGCTGTCCACTATAAATGTTTGTTAAGAACAATACTTAAAACTGTACTGAGATATCTTTAATACTTGTTGAGATACAGGAGGGCAAACTTAGGGGGGAAAAACTTAAAAAGTGCTTTTTCCCATTCTCGAACCGTCACAATGCAACAAGTATTGCCAAAAGTCAACCGATTGTACTAATAGAATTAGCAATCTCTGTTTAGAAATAAAGTAATGATGCTTCCATCTTCCTAAAGTAATTTTTTTCACCCTGAAATTTGGCTCCAAATTCCAGATAAAACCCGTTGTTTCGACTGTCCTCTACAAAATAATGGATTACTCAAAAATATATAAATAAATATTCATCCAATATCCATTCTTTTTTCTGTGTGTGTCTTTCATCTCAATTTATGTTTGTCTTTCTTCTAAAAAATATGAACAAACCCAAAAATTTGAGTTGGGAAGTTTCTGAAATTTGTTTGTTTATCACTATACTAAGGTCACGGGTTTGTACTGGATTTGTTTCAGTGTTGTGTAGGCGATCAATGTGACTGACACGACCAATGAAATCTTTAGAATCTGTGGTGGGCAGGGTTTGTGCTTTAACTGGGTTAAAAAGGTGAGGGATAGTCACATCATCCTTCATGACAGGTACGAACTCCAGGTGCAGCAGCTGAAATCTGTGACATGGTAAAGATGGAGTTTGTTAAAGAGGAGATTGAAGACATGAGTGATCCAGAACCATCCAGAATAAAACATGAAGATACTGAAGAACAAACAGGTTGGTGTCCATTCTTGATTCTTTATTGGTGACTGCTGAGAAACATTAAAGCTGTTGTTAACAATATTTAGTGGCTGTTAAATAATGAGCATTATGATTAATAGATTATCATCTAAATTATCATATCCACATTTTAATTGTATTAACAAGGAATGACAGAACTAACTTTTGGCACATCAAAGATCTGATCCTTGATGCTCCGATAAATATGTGACCTTGTTTGATTTCTGCTATTAAATCAGTTCCACTGATTTTAACCATATCATTTGTTTATTTTAGACTGGATTGAAGTAAAACAGCAAAGACATGAGGTGAATGAAGTGGAGGAACATTGTGAAATCAAAACTTTAAGAAAAAAAGCCAAACAGCTGCACACCTGCTCACAGTGTGGAAAGAGTTTCAGAGACAAAGAAAACCTTAAAGGACACATGAGAATCCACACTGGAGAGAAACCATACACATGCCCTCAGTGTGGAAAGAGTTTTGCTGATGCAGCAAATCTCCGTAAACATCTGCTCTTTCACTCTGAGGACAAGCCTTTTAACTGTGATCAGTGTGGTAAAAAGTTTATTTCACCATCAGGTCTAAAAAGTCACATGACCGTTCATTCAGATGAGAAGCCTCATGTTTGTTCTTTCTGTGGAAAGAGTTTTTCATGGCTGATCAGTTATAAACAGCACCAGAAAATGCATAATGAAGTGAAAGATCATGTGTGTTGTGAGTGTGGAAAGAGCTTTACTAGAGTTTGCAATCTGAAACGGCACCAAATGATTCACACTGGAGAAAAACCTTACAAGTGCTCATATTGTGACAAGAGTTTCACTCAGTCTGGAAGCCTGAAAGCACATCTGCGACTTCATACTGGAGAGAAACCGTATCACTGTATTCAGTGTGGAAAGAGTTTTACTGCAGCAGCAGGTCTTAGTTATCATCTGCACATTCCTTCTGGAGAAAAGCCGTTTAGCTGTGATCAGTGTGGTAAAAAGTTTATTTCATCATCATGTCTAAAAAGTCACCTGACAGTTCATTCAGATGAGAAGCCTCATGTGTGTTCTTACTGTGGGAAAAGTTTTTCAAGCCTGCGCAGTTGTAAAAAGCACCAGAAAGCGCATGATAAAAGATCATGATGAGAGATCGTGTATGTTGTGAGTGTGGAAAGAGCTTTTCTACAGCTGTCTATCTGAAACAGCACCAAAGGATTCACACTTAAGAAAAATCTTACAAGTGCTCACATTGTGTGACAAGTTTCATTCGGTCTGAACACCTGAAAATACATGAGCGAGTTCATTCTGGAGAGAAGCCGTATCATTGTACTCAGTGTGGAGAGAATTTCACTCAGTCAGCAAATCTAGTGACTCGTATTAAAAAGCATTGTTTTGTGTCTGAGTGAGCAAAGGTTTTTTTTACAAGATTCAATATTTCAAAGAAATATTGTGAGATTCAGATATAGTAAATATGAGATTAGCTCAAATGATTCGTTTTGCTGTGAAATGCCACAAGATTTGTGATGGGTTTTTTTCTGTTTTGTTGGAGAATAGCAAAAGTTTTTAGTCACATGTATATACTGTATGTGTGTTTGTTCTTTGATTGAATGCTTCCTCATTAAGACATTGACAAAGAAACACCCAAATAAAACTGGACAAATATGTAAGAAAACTCAATGACCAGTCTTGTTATATAAAACTTTTTTTTTCAAAGATATAAATTTTTTTAAGTTTCTCTGCAACATAAAAGTTGCACAGGGTCTGTATAATGATGCAAATACAATTTCCATTTCACTGATATATCTGATTATTTCTTTTTTTATGTGTGAGTTTTAGATGTTAGTCCATTGTAGTATTTTAGCCAGATATTTTATTTTGTTCAGAGGCAGTAATAGATTTTATTTGTGATGATCCTGTAGTTCAATGGAATGTGTACCTTAATGTGCCAGGAAGTACAAGGGGCACAGGAAATACTCATAATACAAAGTTTCAGACATTGCTCAGATTAGTACAAGCTAGACAGAGAAAACTAAGAAAAGAGAAAGCAAAAGTTTTTTTTTTGAGGATGCAGTCGAATGTTGATGAAAGTGATGAGTTTTCAGCTGTCGCTTGAAATTTGTCAGGGATTCAGCATTCTGGATGAGGGTGGGAAGATCATTACACCAGCCAGGAACGGTGAACAAAAATCTTCTGGAAAGTGATTTTGAGCCTCTCTGTGATGGTACCACGAGGCGTCGCTCACTACAGATCTCAGGCTTCTGGAGGGGATGTAGATTCGTAATAGTGAGTAGAAGTAGACGGGTGCTGAGCCTGTGGCTGTTCTGTACACAACTAAAGCGAGCATCATTAGGCCCTTTCGCATCTCTTTAGTTCCAGAACTAAACGTACTGTACTAAAGTGCTGGGACGATTTTGCGCGAACTATTTCCCAGTACCATTTAAAGGGTTGCATTCGCACCGAGAGTGTGTACTAAGAAGTGACGTAAGCCGGGCGACAGCGACGTCATTTGTGCGCGGCGTTCAACAATGGAAACAAAGAACAACATTAACAACAGGAGGATGGAGCATGCTGTGATCGGAGCTGTGTTTTTGTTGTGTCTCGCGGGTTTCACAGTGGACATGGAAAGTCGACGTATACGTAAAGCGATTGAAAGAACGGAAAGGAGGTCTAAGAATCTCCAACGACAACTGGCAGTGCTACATTTGCTACAAGTGCCTGCACTTCAGTGTCCGTCCATCTATCACTGTTCTCCATACTTGCGAAATAAGTTGACATGCTTAAAGTATGTTTACACGGCGTTTTAAATCATGGCGGGTGAGGGCATTTTCATACGCGTTTGGCCAATCAATGTCTACTTACATCACGATTAGTACCAGTTGTGCTGGTTAGACCCTGCTCCGGAGTAGGAGCTAATTTGGTTCTCGAAAAAGGCAGTCCGGTACTAAAATCGCTCCCAGTTCCGGCGGTGCGAACACGCCGAAAAGTGGGTAGTTCCACAATTAGTTCTGGTACTATGAAAAGGTTCCTGGGGTGCGAAAGGCCCTAGTGTCTTGAACTTGATGCGAGCTGCAACCGATAAGCAGTGCTGGGAGATAAAGAGAGGTGTGACGTGGATCTTTTTATGCTTGTTGAAGACCAGTCATGCTGCTGTTTTCTGAATCATTTGTAGTGGTTAGATTGTGCATGATGGAAGTCCAGCCATACAAATCCAGAAAAGCAAAAAGATGACAAGCAGGAGGGAGAAGCGCGAGAGTCGAGTGCTGATTTTTTTTTTACTTTATTCAACGTTTCATGGCTCAGCTGTTCATCAGTAAAGTTTGGGAATATTTAACAATTGACATTAAATAGATATAATTCAGGATCTATTTCAAGGTGCAGCTGATTTTCTACATAGTCTAATAGACAAAGAAAATTAAATGTTTTGAAGAGTTTCCGTGTATGTGATGTGCCATTGATCTTATTATAAAAAAGGAAGTTTTGGCAGCGATGGAAAAGTTTTACCTTGGTGGAAAATGAGGATATCAGTGACTGATACAATACTTACTGAGATTAGCTAAATCTTTGCACCATTTTCTCTCCACTGCTCACAGAGGACAACACATAACCAGGGATTGGAGGGCATTTTCATACGCGTTTGGCCAATCAATGTCTACTTACATCACGATTAGTACCAGTTGTGCTGGTTAGACCCTGCTCCGGAGTAGGAGCTAATTTGGTTCTCGAAAAAGGCAGTCCGGTACTAAAATCGCTCCCAGTTCCGGCGGTGCGAACACGCCGAAAAGTGGGTAGTTCCACAATTAGTTCTGGTACTATGAAAAGGTTCCTGGGGTGCGAAAGGCCCTAGTGTCTTGAACTTGATGCGAGCTGCAACCGATAAGCAGTGCTGGGAGATAAAGAGAGGTGTGACGTGGATCTTTTTATGCTTGTTGAAGACCAGTCATGCTGCTGTTTTCTGAATCATTTGTAGTGGTTAGATTGTGCATGATGGAAGTCCAGCCATACAAATCCAGAAAAGCAAAAAGATGACAAGCAGGAGGGAGAAGCGCGAGAGTCGAGTGCTGATTTTTTTTTTACTTTATTCAACGTTTCATGGCTCAGCTGTTCATCAGTAAAGTTTGGGAATATTTAACAATTGACATTAAATAGATATAATTCAGGATCTATTTCAAGGTGCAGCTGATTTTCTACATAGTCTAATAGACAAAGAAAATTAAATGTTTTGAAGAGTTTCCGTGTATGTGATGTGCCATTGATCTTATTATAAAAAAGGAAGTTTTGGCAGCGATGGAAAAGTTTTACCTTGGTGGAAAATGAGGATATCAGTGACTGATACAATACTTACTGAGATTAGCTAAATCTTTGCACCATTTTCTCTCCACTGCTCACAGAGGACAACACATAACCAGGGATTGGAGGGAGTCGTGTGCTGGTCTGGAGGAAAGAGGACAGATATTGCCTAGACAGGTAGTTAGGATAGAAAATAAGTCGTATCTGTGGCACAATTCACATCTAATGATGAGACATTTGTGGGAGTGGGAAGAGATGAAGATACCACAGAGGAAAGTCGAGAAGGAGAAAGAGACCTAGTTTTCGTCTAAATGAAGCTGGCAGAGGGTTTGGTAGTGATGTAGATCAAAAGTGATAATGAAATGATCAGAGAAGTGCAAAGGTTTAAACAAGATTTAATCTGTGATACAATTGCGTGTAAAGATGAGGTCAAGCTGGTTACATGATTTATGAGTACTTGTGGTGTTGAGTTGCCGAAGGTCGAAAGAGGCGAGGAGAGAGTGGAAGCCAGCAGCAAATGGCTTCTCAAGGTGGATGTTGAAGTCCGCGAGAAGAACAAGAGGGCTGCCATCCTCCGGTAATGAGGACAGCAGCATATCCGGTTCTTCTAGAAAGTTTCCCAACTGACCTGGAGGGCGATAAATAACTACAATATGGGGTTTTATAGGGAGTGTGACTGTAACAGCAAGAAATTTAAAAGAAAATATTGTTACAATTATAGGAGCATGTGAGTTATTTCCAGCTTTTTGACATGAGGAGACCAGACCTGATGGGGGTGTGGGAGAAAAACAAGTTGTTGAAAAGAGCAGCAGGTGCTGCTGTGTCTTTAGGTCGAATCCAGGTCTCAGCCAAGCCTAAAATATTGGAATAAAGTCAGCTTAATTGACTGCTGACTGACAATTATGTTTATTATTAATTCAATTCAGTTCTATTCAATTCAAGTTTATTTGTATATCGCTTTTCACGATACAAATTGTTGCAAAGCAACTTCACAGCAAATTAAGTTTCTACAATATTTAGTGGTAGCTTATCAGTGGTGACTGTCAGTTAATGTACATCCAGACTGAAGCTTGTGTAAATCCTAGTTACCACGAGATGTCAATAGAGACATAATTAGCGTAGCTGCTGTTCCAACCAAGCAAAATTGATTTGTTTAACCCAAGCTAAAGAATAACAATGTGCATTTGATCAGATATAACTGCAGTACAAGATTATGAGATGCATTATTTGAATGCTTGGCCAAAGAGATGTGTCTTTAATCTAGATTTAAACAGAGAGAGTGTGTCTGAACCCCGAACGTTATCAGGAAGGCTATTCCAGAGTTTGGGAGCAAAATGTGAAAAAGCTCTACCTCCTTTAGTGGACTTTGCGATCCTAGGTACTACCAAAAGTCCAGAGTTTTGCGACCTTAGGGAGCGTGATGGATTGTAGCGTGGTAGAAGACTAGTTAGGTACGCAGGAGATCACCCATTAAGGGCCTTATAGGTAAGTAATAATATTTTGTAACTGATATGGAACTTAATATGTACAGTAACTTAATATAATAATATTATTATTATTATTATCTATGCTGCACATGCCTTATGTTGTTGGATGTTCCAATAAAGGTTAGGACTATTTATGGGTCTTCAGATGCCTCACAAAATTGGATGTCGTTGACAAAGCATCTGTAATTTTTGAACCACAGGTTCTACATATTGCAGTTCTTTTGTTTCCCTTGATATTATATTCTTTAAATCCAAATGCTATCACTTTAGGTATCATTTTGTCCAAACTGTTGAGCATGCAACCTTCAAATTTACTTAGTGGAAGGTGATTCGATGGTTGTTTGATTGGTTGACTGTAAAGCAATGCAGATTTAAAATTAAGTTAACTTTTCATGAGGAAATTAATGATTTTACACTTTAAGTTAAAAATGTTGAGCCCCCAGTTAAATTATATTTTTATTGATGTATTTTTTTAAATGATTTTCATTCCTATGTCCATGACAACATATCAAGTGACACTTTGGCTGTATGATTGCTGGAAAAAAAGCAAAATATTCGATATTCAGATTCTCAAATATAGCCAATGTAAATAAGTGTTAAAGTGTTGTTGAAAGTTGTATGTTAGATATTAAGTTTATAATGTGCATAGTTGATCGCTAAATTTAGGGGCTATGTGCGCTATGCAGACTGGATTTACAACATGTGAATTAATTTGTTTATCCCGAAAGAAATTAAAGTGAAAAGGGGAGAAAAATGTATTCTATTGTATAGTTACATATACAATGCTCATTTGGTGAAAGACATATTCCATTAGGATTTATTGGTTTTAACAAGCCACCAATAGAAGGCAATCAATTACCAGTAGAGACCAACAGGGTCCATTACAGTTTCCAGTAAAACCAATGCAA